TGACCAGCTTAATCTAATTCTCAGAATGTAAGTTTTTATTAGCTTCTATCCCAATGGCTGAAACCTCTTGGCATCTCACCTTCCATTTTGTAATCCACTGATCACAGAGAAATTTCCTAAGGAAACAGCCCTTCTCTTTCACAAAATATCCAGAGGACTGATTTCCGAGGAAGGTTTGATTGCTTCAGGGATTTAGGATTTAAAACATAGGAATGTTTTAGTTATTCTATAATTATATCACAGTGCTTTTTACAACCCACTGCACCAGTGTAGGCTATGTTTCCCAAATGTAGCCATTATGTGATTTATTCCTTCTTCATTTACCGTAGAAGATTGAGAACAAAGTGGTGTGTTTAAAAATATAATGATAAATTATGAAAAGTGTTTATACCTTCATTAATGTACCACAACAAAAGTGTTCATAACCAAACTTTATATATGCCTATATAATTATGGTATTACCCTAGTGACATTTAAAAAATTAATTAATTTATTTATTTTTTTTGGCTGCATTGGGTCTTCATTGCTGCGTGCGGGCTTTCTCTAGTTGTGGTGAGCAGGGGCTACTCTTTGTTGCAGTGTGCAGGCTTCTCACTGCAGTGGCTTCTCTTTGTTGTGGAGCACGGGCTCTAGACTGCATGGGCTTCAGTAGTTGTAGCACGTGGGCTCAGTAGTTGTGGCTCACGGGCTCTACAGCACAGGCTCAGTAGTTGTGGCGAATGGGCTTAGTTGCTCCGCAGCATGTGGGATCTTCCTTGACCAGGGCTCGAACCCGTGTCCCCTGCATTGGCAGGTGGATTCTTAACCACTGTGCCACCAGGGAAGTCCCCTAGTGACATTTTAAAGTCAGTAAACTTAAAAATCTTTTTATGTTTTTCTACAATTTATATCTATATAATCATGTTCTAGAAAGACAAGAAACAAAATCATTTCTATTTCATGGGACAGCTTCAATCTATTTCTAGCAAAACAGAAAGTAAAAGTAAATTACTATCTTTCCTAGAGGGTTTAAGAATTATATCAGGGAATGTATAGAGAACCCTGATACACATTTCTGATTGAAATGTTATGCAAAATAGTCTCACGCACCTGTTATTTCAAAAGTGATGGATAGGAAAGATGCAGCACTAGGCTTCAATGCACTCTCTGATATTTACTTTCTGAAATAACAGGGAAATAGCACCATAAGCATAGCCTTTTTTTTTTTCAAAATAGTGTTGACTGAAGTGGGCTAGTCTGTGGAAACTGTAGATAAAAGAATACAATTATAAAGAATTTGCATTTCATTTAGGGATGGTGACTATTTTATTCTTATTTCTTTGCAGATGGGAAAATATGAGCTCTTAATTCATCCTTCTGTCTACCCATTCACAGTACAATCATCCTTCCCTCAATCCATCTTTCTACTGATTCTCCACACCTTTCTGACGGTGTCATCATACAGGCTCATTATCCATGCTGTCTTTCTTAATAACCTCAAATCCCACAGACCTTCTCCAGATTTTGGTGTGAATTATTTGATACATTTTCTATAAAGGAATGTTCTAAAATTTCCTATAAGTTGCAGTAAGTTTTATGGTGCTTTATAACCAATACTTTTGGTGTCCCTCATTTAAAAACATGTTCAATCTGTATCAAATGGAAGAATTTCTTGAATTACTATAGCTAAAATCTACTTTCAATTCACTTTGAACTCTTAAAAAAGTCAATTCGCGTTCATGCATCTAATGATCAGCAACATTTTCATCAGCTTTCTAGGACTTACACTGATAACCTCCCCATGGGCAAGGCCTTGTCCTGTCATATCCTGAGAAGGACAGAGTTCATGCCAGCGCAAGTTGGATATTCTTCAAGCCTACTGGAATTCTGAATAGGCAGATGACAGAAACTGTCAAAGATTTTACTACTAAGTCTTCTCAGTACAGAATTTGTCAAGCCTTTCTTCTAAAGCAGTGATTATGGAAATTTTGATCACCTGAATATTGTGTTAGAATTGGGAGAATTCCAAGAATAAAATGTGGATACTCTCCAATATCAAGTAGATATATTTTTCCTATTGCCTATAGATGCCATCGCCAACTTAGTAAGTATTCTGATAATTCAACTCATTTCAAGTTTTGAATAACATACTTTACACTTTGTGAGAACTTTAATAATAAATATTTCAATTTTCTGCAAATTAAATATATTAGCTCCAAGGAAAAGAATTTTTAGGGCCTCATGTGGGGTGAGTCAATTAACAGTAGTAAATACGCCAGTGAATAAAGTGATTTAATAAGACCCTGCCTTTGTGCTAAGGTGGTCATTATCATTCTTCTGTGTAATATGATGTATGAAGATAATGAAGTTTATGTGAATTTCATATCACTTGTTTACAGTATTTTTTGCATCAAGAAATTTTATTTTTGAGCTAAAGTATTTTATTTTGAATTAAGGTTTTTTGTTTGTTTGTTTGTTTTTTTGCGGTACGTGGGCCTCTCTCTTTTGTGGCCTCTCCCGTTGCGGAGCACAGGCTCCGGACGCGCAGGCTCAGCGGCCATGGCTCACGGGCCCAGCCGCTCCGCGGCATGTGGGATCTTCCCGGACCGGGGCACGAACCCACGTCCCCTGCATTGGCAGGCGGACTCTCAACCACTGTGCCACCAGGGAAGCCCTAAGGTATTTTTAATAGTTTGCTTATGTGTGAAAACGACATTTATAGGACACAAAGTGTGAATCTACAAAAACAACAGTGTAGTCCTTGCTCTTCAAATTAAGGGCAATATGAATTGCTCTTAGAGTAGGTTGTTCATGGTTACACAGTCAGGATTTCTTGAGATCAGTACCTTCTAACTAGGATTGAATGAGGAAGTTACTTTGAGAGGTTTCCCTGTTTTTATAAAGTAAGCTTTCATTCTTTCTTATTTGTTTAAGAAGACAGACTGTGAACAATCTTCACAGCCCACAGTCTAATTGTTCTCCATTCACATATATTTACAGTCGTTACATGTCACCCTTGGGATGCTGGTGTATTAAACAAGTTTCCTATTGGGCAATGTTAAGTACTTCTAGGGGGAACTCAGTCTAAGTTCTGAGAAAAAAAAAGCTGCAACTTTTAGCAAGAATCAGCTGTTTTTGCAATAAGAGATTTATTAATATTCTTGGTATTGGACATGAAAGGACACAAATTCCTAAGTTATTCATGTTACATACTTACATGATTAAATATTAATTTCAGGTGAATTGACTACTGCCATGTCTATTAATCTCTGCTTTGGCATTTGCTTTAGTCCAACAGATACATCTTAATAATAATATTCTTTGTGTTTTCCCTTTTTTCTGTGACTTTTACTTTTGTTGCTCTGCAGTGCTTTGACAGCAGTAGAAGGGGAATTCTATGACAAAATGATTTTTTTAAATGTGCTGTTGCAATTCAGAATTCTGAAGGATCTTTTTGAAAGCAATAACCTACAGGATATAACTCACGTTCAGAAACTAAAATCTGATCTACCTCTAGCAGTGAAATTATACTACTCTGAAAGGACTGCTATAATAAATCCACCTAAGAGTGTTAAAAACGTAGCCATTAAAGTGGCCAAGACAATATTAACGTACTAACATTATATGTTTTATGGTATTTCCTTAAAACCTCAAGATACGTTAGTAGTAAAATGTATCCCTAGGCTAGATTCCTAAATGAGCTGACGTGCTGTGTAAAGCTAGTGGATACGAAACAATTAAATTTTTCAAGCTGCAAATGCAAAACTTTAGTCCTTATTTCCCAAGAATTACTGGTCACCAGTGCCACTTCTTTTTTTGCGGAGGCAAAGGAGCCATCTCTTCTTTTGTTTTATGAAATGCCCATTTCATAAAACATGTATGAAGTGTATGTGTCATAACTCAGCTCAAGTTCCACCTCCTTTGTGAAGGTTCCTCTTTCTCTGATCTCCCTATGGTTATTCTAAAACTCAATTATAATGCATACCATACTGCATTATAACTGTTGGGCTGTTTGTGTGCCCTCAAGATGACCATGAGCATTTTCCTGACATGAAGTTTGTATTGATATTTTTATCCTCACCGCCACACAAAATTTTTGGAACTCTCCTGGCAACTAATCAATATATGTTGAATGTATTAGTGATAGAAGTCCGGCAATCCCTCAGGTAGTGAAACGTAATAGGGTCTGCTTACAGCATTGCTTGAAAAGTCTCATATTTGTGTGGACTAATGGGCTACTAATTGAATATAAACTTGATCCAATAATGATTAAAATTTTAGAGTTGAGACAGGGCAGAAGTTGAGACACAGATGTAGAGAACAAACGTATGGACGCCAAGCGGGGAAAGCCACAGGGGGGTGGTGGTGGTGGTGTGCTGAACTGGGCGATTGGGATTGACATGTATACACTGATGTGTATAAAACTGATGACTAATAAGAACCTGCTGTATACAAAAATAAATTAAATTAAATTTAAAAAAAAGAAGTCATGCCTTTGGGTTAAAGACTTTTTCCTGTAGTTTTTTTTGTTTTGTTTTGTTGGGGTTTTTTTTGTTTTTTTTTCCGGTAGTTTTATTCTGTATTTATTTCTTTTAAATTCAAATTGAAATTTTCACTCAATACCATAATTAACTTATTTTTTCAACCCCATTATAAACAGCAAAATAAGGTGTTCTTTTTACAAGCATGTTTTACTTCTTCTTTATGAAGAAAAGAAAATTTGGACTTTGGAACACATACTTGCATTCTATGTGTATCCTTACGAGATACATCTTTATTCTATTTTTATAAATTACTCCTACTAAAGAGAGGTTTTTCAGTAAATCAGAACGGACCAAAGACGGAACTGTATTAATTATTTTTACAACCATAATTTAGACTACTGTTCACCATAGTCAATATCAGCCATAATGTGAACAGAAATATGACTCTTCCTGCCCCAAACGGCTACATATACACCCCTGCAGGATGATCCCACTCTTGGTCTCCACAGTTGAGTACTTGAGAAGAAAACAGTTTACCTTCTTTGTCCTTGTGGGTGTTTAAGTGTGAGAGGAGGTCCTCATTGGCCTGCACGCAGTACACCTCTCGGGTCTGGACCCCTCCTCCGCAGAGGGCCGTCTGGTTGCCCCGCCTCTTGTCCTGCTGACTGAGCAGAGGATCCACACGGCACTCAGTCCACTCTGTAGTCCTCCAGCCATACCTAGATAAAGAAAATGATGGCAGTGGCAACCTGTTTACTGAATAAAACTTTTCTCCACTCCTATTTTTTGTTCCTCAAAAAGATTAATCTGGGGCTTTCCTGGTGGCGCAGTGGTTGAGAGTCTGCCTGCCAATGCAGGGGACACGGGTTTGAGCCCTAGTCTGGGAAGATCCCACATGCCGCAGAGCAACTAGGCCTGTGAGCCACAACTACTGAGCTTGCACATCTGCAGCCTGTGCTCCACAAAAAGAGAGGCTGCGACAGTGAGAGGCCGCGCACCACGATGAAGAGGGGCTCCCGCTTGCCACAACTAGAGAAAGCCCTCGCACAGAAATGAAGACCCAACACAGACAAAAATAAAATAAATAAAATAAATAAAAATTTATTAAAAAAAAAAAGATTAATCTGAAAAATACTTTCCTCTTGAATTAATCTTAGACTACATCTAAGGTGCAGGTTCAGTTTCAATCCCTTCCTCTACATCTTCATCCTGCTCCATTTAAAGAGGGGTTAAATTTAAGATGATCCAGTTTTAATTGCAACTACTGGAAGTTACTTATAAATATTTTATGAAAAGAGAGCATAATGCTGAAAACATGAAATTTTATGTTCAATTAAGCTGAACTCAGGCTTGCCCTTTCTTGATGCTTATAAGCAAAGGAAGGTTGAATCTGAGAATGGAACACATTCTAAATGATGATGAACCCAAACATTTGTTTTGTCTCTAACAGAATGCATGAAAATTGCTGCTTCGTACTGGATCAAAATTATAATTGTGTGTTAGTAATAAAAATGTAACATAATTCAGAGTTTTCTCTTTATTGTTGAGAATAAGAGTTTGTTTGTTTTTTTTTTCCTGTAGCACTGAGCATCCCTGATGAGTGTTGATGAATGATGAAAAGAGCTGACGTTTCTAATCAGTGGAACACAGGAAAGATGATCTGTGATTCTAAACTAAAGCTCCAATAAAGATTATGATGTGAAAAAAATGTCAGGGGATTGTCAGCCCAACACATGCTTTAAGGAGATAGACAGGGAACCATTTCCCGATGCCACTGAAGATAGAAAGTGATGGCATTTCTCCACCTCGAGGAAAATGGATATTCTAAAAGCACAAAGAAAACGGCTCATGTAGCACTTTGTTTCACTTTAACCAAGATGCCTCCTTAGTAATCAGATTAACAGCCAACATAGGTACAAATGGGTGTGCTAATGTTCACCTCAGTTAGATAGAAAGGTTAAGTGGGCTCTAGGATGTCTCATCTAGAGGCTTTGCTTTGTCAGTGGTAAAGTTTCATGACAGTAAAGGTGAACTTCATGCTCGTTTTTCAGTTTTTATAAGTGGGGATTCATGGCTTAATAAAGGTGCAGGACTGGGGCATCAAGGAACAACACTCTTGACATACATTTATAAAGGAAGTACAGCATTCAGGTCAATTCTAAAAACATGGATACTTGATGCCTTGGGAGGAGAGACAGTGAAGGAAAGTAAAACCAAACAAGTCATTCATTAGGGGAGCCAAAATGAAAATTTTTTTTTTTTTTTTTATAGAATGGAGTCCCAGTTTAGGTCATCCTAAGGACTCCTGTGAGAGGAACAAATTTTTAGTAATGTCAATTGATCGCACATTCTAAAAGAATGCTATCATCCATAAAGGGTTAGAAGAAAGATTCAGAATAGAGATTTATTTTAATTCATAGCTAATGGCGTTTGAATATTTGAGAGGATAAAGAATAAAACACCTAGCTTGAGAAAAAAGTGGAAGAAACTTGTAGGAGACAAAACACTCTGATTAGAGAACCTGGCAACTTCCTTGAAACTGTTACATAGAGGTGAACACACAAGTCAGCAGGACAGGCAGAGTAGTTAGGAAGAAAACTCTCCAGAGCGTTCCGTCACTTGTTATATCAGAGAAGGGGTGATTCCAAAGTGCTGCATAATTGAAGATCTTGTATGAATCATTACTATTCTGTTATTATTATTATTACTGTTAGAAATGGGAGGAGGAGGAACAATAATAGTAGCAGTTTTCCTCCTCACTGTGTCATGGAGTTCAAGCTGTATGCATGTTCTCTAAATATTTGAAATATTCCAGGGAACCTTTCAATGAAGCTTGTGCACATCTACTGAGAAACTAAGATTCTGTAAGTTGTTTCATAAATATTCTATATTCAGACTAAGATGAAATATATTTATCACCAAGATAATTCACAGTAATATCTTGGAGATGATATTTTTTAAGGATAAAAAGAATATAGTTATACTGCCAAATATTTCAAAATTAGTCTTATTTCATCTGAATTCAATGCGTATTGATTGGGCACTTACTGTGTGCCTGGTCCTATGACATGCAAGCAATTAAAAACCAAACAAGCCCCACCCCCAAGGTTCATAAGCAGTCTTTGTCCTGAAGGAGCTTAAAGTCTCATTACTTTGATGTAGCATTTTACTCTATTCAATAGGAATTGTTATATACAGTACTGAATTTTAATAGGACTTGCTCAATAAGCAATAGGAACCTGTATTTTGAAACTTTATTTTACCTTATAGACTAGTTGACAAACTACAGCCAAATCCAACCTGTCCCCTGTTCTTATAAGTAAATTTTATTGGAACACATCCACACTTATTTGTTTACATATTACCTATAGCTCCAATGGCAGAGCTGAAGCATGACAGAGACACGTGAGGCTTGTAAAGGCTAACATATTCACTATCTTCTCCTTTATGAAAAAAGCTTGCCAATCCCCACTATAGAAAATACACAAACAGGGAATTGCCATTAAAAATCTAACTTTCATGGAGACTGGGAAATACAGCTTGTTAAAGACACTTTTACCCTGTAAAACCAGTAATTTTTACAGGATAGTGTTTGTAGAGAGATATTTTTCTACTTAGAATTTGTAAAAATCTCTATTTCTCAACATACTGTCTGGTTGAAATCAAATCACTAAAGGAACATGCAGTTTGGGCAGACAGGGCAGCAGATGCCACCATCCTTTATTTACTCACATGGCACAGGGGGCAACTCCATCTCCTTGAGACACACAGGGTTCTTTTTCCTCAAGTTCTGGACACTCCTTCTCACTGCCAATAGGAAACTGCCTGATGAGCCGCGTCCTCACACGGGTGCCTTTAGGGGATGCCATATCATGGCATGTTTTTGAGCAGGGGCTCCACTCAGACCACTCTGACACCTGGCACTCTTTGGTGATCACACAGGCCTGGAAGGTCAGCGGCAGCTTCTCTTGTTGGCAAAAGCTGCAAAAGAGCATTAATATTCTCATCACAGACTTATAGGCAGGGATGAACTTTGTCTTCTACACTCCAGAGTGAAATCAGCTTGGACATTTTTATTTCTACTTGGAGGTACAATTCCAATTTCATTAAAAATATATCAACATTTACGATGTGTAAAAGCTGTTAGACTCAAAGCTAACATCTGCATTTCCTCCTATTTTGTAAGAGCTGTTAAACCACTCATAGGAAGTAGAAAATAAAGAGATTACGCAAAATTAGCTGAAACTAAGTTTACCATATTGTTCAATTTACTCATTCCAGATTTGTTTTTATTTAGAAAATGAGGAACCAATAACTGTTAACATATGATAATTTCCATTCTGTTTAGTGATTTAAATAAACATGCCTGGATAACTAATACAATATTGAACAGAAAAAGAAATTTAATTTATGCTTAACATTATTTTTAATACTGTTTGAAACTTTAGCTGTCAATTACAATGTATGCTTATTCAACTACATCAACTTTTCCAGTTCATACTTTAATGTAAGGTATACATGAGTATATTAATTAAATACGTCGTATGCATTAGAAATATAAATCTATTTAAGCTATATTACTGTAGAGATATCCTCTAAATAGATCTCTAATTCACCAGTAAAGTATTTATGTTCAAATTTGTATCTATATAATCCTCCTTGAATTAGAGGGATGTTGAATTCTAAATTGTAATGTCTACATATGAAGGTGAAGATAATGTTACAAATGTCATCAACAATGGGCATATGCACTTTGAGGGGCTTTCCTGGAATTGGATGGCCTTGCGCTGATTCTTAGTTGAACTCCTGCCCATTCTCAGTAACTAGTAGCTCACGTGTACAAGACACAGGAGGGCTTGTTGCTACGATAGGGCATCTGTTCCAGTGGGAGAGTTCACTGATAATTCTGTCTCATCATTCAGGTGCTATATTTAACTATGATAATCAACCATACAGAGAGGCAGGTCCATTTTAATATAACAACTCACATACAATCTTTTTAATTCTACCGGCATGTGTACGAAAATTGCATTCCTAGGAGACAATTAGAGCTCAATATGTCAAAGTCAATTTGTCTGAGCTGAGAGGTCTGGGCAGGAGCATCATCTGAGAGTGGCAGTAAAAGGGCCCTGTAAGTCAGCTCTGTTCTTCTTATAACAACAGAGAGGACCAGAATCCCAGTTTTACTCAAATATCTTATATTGAGTGTTAATGATGCATTAGGTACAACACTAACCTTAGAACAAAACTTCCTCTGTGATGAACAAATTTTCACTCTAACACTTGTGAGTTTATCCAGGAAAATCAGGCAAAATAATGACCAAATGATGACCTCTATAACTCCTTTTTTACAAAACTCTCCATGTTAATTTCCTCTTAGATACATTTCTAATCCTTCATGAGACTGTATTCATATACATATACGCATATGTTATCCTCTATGTATTACTTACCAAGTCCATATTCTATGTAGAGGCAGAGAATTAACAATCCCTTTTAATCTTTTGTGGAGAATTTGACCATCAGTTAAATACCTCCAGTTACAGTTACCTGGTAACCTGATGAAAGCTGAAATATCAGCTAAGTTACCAGATAATATTATTTATGATACAATGATCAATTTTGATAAATTCCATTTGCTCTGGAGAAACTAAAACTACCTGGTAGGCACCCACAACTTTGGGCTTGCCTGAATGTGTCAGCTCTTGGAATAGGGCTTGCTTTTTGTGTGGACTTTGAAGTCTATGACTACGGGATCACGTCAAGAGATATCGGCGCCTGTGGGGCCTGAGACTTTTAAGCCAAGGCAACTCTTGGACTTGCTGGATGTAAAATTATCTTCTTCCATCTGAACTGTGCTGCACTGATTTCTAGAAGAATTACCACCAGATGAGGAATGACTGTTGCTACAATGATGACAAGTTCTTTATCTTTCTAAGTAGACTGATGCCAGACAGCAGTCTTGTGTGTCTTGTGTATCTCAAAGTCTGCACAGCCTAAGTTTAAAACTTAATCCATATTACCTCATTTAATGCTTCCAATAATTCTTTTATGTGGGTACCATTATCATTTCCATTTTACAGGGAAGGAGTCCCTGAAAGGTTAGGGAATGTTTAAGATCATATAGGAATGTGTAAGTAGGGAACTGAAATTTGAACTTGGATTTTCTAAAATCAGAGCCCATTTTCTTAATTACTTTGCCCTACTGCTTCTCACAGTTTAAACTGACTGCAAATCTCAGTTTGTTAGAGCAACTGCTGTAGTTGAGGCCAGTGCCAAGGTTACTGGCACATTGTGAATCCAATAGTTTCACTATTTCACAGCCCCAGGATTTGTACCACCCTAGCACTTTGCAAATGTGCTACTTGCTCTAAGGAGGACTTAGTAATTATGGAAATGTCAAAACAAATACGTTTTCCTGACACATGTTAACAATTTTTAATACAGGTCCTACATATGAGAAATCAGCAGCATAAACATGAGAACAGTATTAAGTTATATGATTAGTTTTTAATATATGTGATGTATATAATATACCTACCTATTTATCTGTCCATCTATAATTTGTTTTTCCTTTAATTTTCCAATACGATTATTTCAGCAAATGTGAATCAAGTAACTCTACATATTGGGCTTTAGAAGTACAAAGACAAGATTATAGTAATTAAGTTGGAAGCATACAGCTCTGCTTGGGGAGGCACAGAAGGCTATATGAAGTAGTACATTACTACAAAGTTTTCATATTGAGTGAAGGTAATCAATGGAAATATGAAATAAAAGTCTTTTCTTTGTTTCTTGGTGGGTGGGGGAAATGCAGATTTTTCCTTGGCCTCAGTGTAAGGAGCTTTTGTTGAGCAGTGGAAATAAGAGTGGAATTGAAGCCTAGGTCAGATCAAGGGCAGTTATGTAGATCCAGAAAAGCACCTCCTGTGAGTGAAAGAACCATTCAAAGTTGCGGAGCATAAAGGACATGATACTTGTATTTTATGTAAATTCCAATAGCAGGGTACAGGACAGAATAACAGGGTATAAGATCAGAAGCAGGCTAACTATGATGATGATGATGATGATTACGACATTAATATTTATAGTAAATATATATTGAGTGCTTACTATGTGCCAGACACTGCTCAAACTGAGTGAGGTATGATTATGAAAATGAGATTAATCATCATGGAATGTCTACTGTGAGCCGTGTACTGTATTGTTTTACTTAGAGTATCTCATGCAATGCTTAAAACTATTCTGTAAGATGGAAATCCATCTTTTTTTTTTTAAGATAAGGAAATGGAATCTAAATGTCTCACTTATGTCTAGATAAAGTAGCAGAACTAGGATTCTAAATAGATCTTTCTGCTTATGAGGCTTATCAAAGTATGAACAAAGGCAATGGCGGTAAAAATTAAAAGGGGTTATAAACTATAAAAAGGGGAGTTAGAAACTATACAACCTGATGGATAGTTGAAGGGGTTAAAAGAGAGGAAGGAGTCATTAAATAACTTGGAAGTTTCTAGCTTTGGCAATCTGGTGAGCATCACTGCAATTCTTCGAAATGGAGAACATGGAATAAAAAGCAAGTTTCTGGCATTTGATAATTGAGTTCAACATTATTATCTTGATTTGATATGGACACATCCAGTACATATCCAACATGCAGAAATGTCTAGTAAACAGATCCAGAATTAGGGATCAGGATTTAGTTGAAAGTTCTGGATGGCATGTATACTTTTAAAAGTCATGAGCATAACAGAGTTCAAAGCCAAGGCCACAGGAGTAGCTGAGTGCTCACACACTGGGGCTCATTTTAGGCCTGAATAACTCACACATGGCCTTACAGTGGACTTTGGTAGGTCCATGAACACTGTGATGCATATTAACTTCATTTTGTAATTGTTAGTGAGACTAAATAAGATCACCAAATCACCCATGCTTACGAAATTATTCAGCTTCCACCCTCAACCATTTTCTCCTTTATTCTGGCCATGCAAAAAGGTGATACTAGAGAGCTTAGGGGAACTATCCATTTTGGTTCACTATGGTTTTCCTGAGAACATGCCCCTCTGGAGGTCAAAGGTATAGGCTACGCTTCTGCAAGGGCAGCCTGGTAGAAGATGTGATGGTCACTGTGACAGTTTCTTTTTCATTTATGTGGTATATTCAGGAGAGCCCAGATGGCTAAGACTGATAGAACAAAAGTTTGGCTTTGATACAAAAGCAGGTATTACTTAATCACCTTGTATCGGACACAGAGGAATCAGACTAAAAAAAAAATGAAAAAGTGGAGAGCAGGAGCTTCAAGATGGCGGAAGAGTAAGACACAGAGATCACCTTCCTCCCCACAAATACATCAGAAATACAACTACATATGGAACAACTTCTACAGAACACCTACTGAACGCTGGCAGAAGACCTCAGACCTCCCAAAAGGCAAGAAACTCCCCACGTACCCGGGTAGGGCAAAAGAAAAAATAAAAAACAGAGACGGGACCTGCACCAGTGGGAGGGAGCTGTGAAGGAGGAAAGGTTTCCACACACTAGGAAGCCCCTTCGCTGGCGGAGACTGCGGGTGGCGGAGCGGGGAAGCACAGCAACGGGGGTGTGGAGGGCAAAGCAGAGAGATTCCCGCAGAGAGGATCAGGGCCGACCGGCACTCACCAGCCCGAGAGGCTTGTCAGCTCAGCCGCCGGGGCGGGCAGGGCTGGGAGCTGAGGCTCGGGCTTCGGAGGTCGGATCCCAGGGAGAGAACTGGGGTTGGCGGCACGAACACAGCCTGAAGGGGCTAGTGCACCACAGCTAGCCAGGAGGGAGTCCGGGGAAAAGTCTGGACCTGATGAAGAGGCAAGAGACTTTTTCTTCCCTCTTTATTTCCCGGTGCGCGAGGAGAGGGGAGCTTTAAGAGCGCTGCTTAAAGGAGCTCCAGAGACTGACGCGAGCCGCAGCTAAAAGCGCAGACCCCAGAGACGGGCATGAGACGCTAAGGC